GGTACGTGCACAGGCCTTGTGTTGGGTAAACACCGAGGTGTGGGGACAACAAACGGGACAAAGCGCCTCGCCAATAGTGACATTGCTGAATATCACGTCCTGCGGGGCACGTTAGACGCATCGTTTAGCTACAATCCATATTCCCTATATGGGGAGTTCACTATAAACGAACTTGGGATACGAATATGAGTGAATGGATAACAAAAAAGAACCTACATAATAGCCACGGCAGTGGTCGCTGAGGCCCCTGTTAGTGGTCGCACCTTCAAGTAGGTTGCATTCAGAAAGGCACTCAGCGTTGAGGGACGCTTTGTTGGCATTTTGAGTGGCCATCCAGCTTGTAGTTCATTTCCTGTCCTGTTCTCTGCTTAACAATGATCGTTTACAGACAGTGTTCGCCAGAGCAATAGGTGCCGGACTAACGATACAAAGAAAAAAAATCCTTGAAATTTTGCAGTATTGTTGTCAAATATACAAGGCACAACAAAAAAGTATTATTTTTGATTCCAGTTCTTATTTTCTTTCATTTGTTATTTTTTTAAAGCTCAAGTCTGCATTCTTGTCGTAGGTCGTTTCCCGGTCTGCGTTGAGCCTCAGATTGGCAATCTTTACTTCCGTAAAACCACCCCTTTTGTTTGAGGATTTTTTTGCGGGAAACTCTAGGAAACAAAAGGCGCCTTTGGGAAGGCAAGGGGAAAACCTTCATTGTATGGGCTTCGGGCTAAAATATGAATAAAAATCGGCAAAAAAGAGATGCTTTCACCACCTTAATCAAAATCACTGTAGCTAATCGGAGCTAGCACCAGGATTTGGTTGCTCGAAAGAATGTTCACGTTTGCTCGTGCCACGCCCACGCCACTTTTTACCGAAAAACTCGGAAAATGGTGGAATGTCAAAAATGTATTTGAGATAATGAGAACAAGATACTCAGAAATGTAATTAAGATAGAGTATCAAATACTCTCGATTAAAAGTATTTGCAAGATACCAAGATACTTCAAAAAGTATTTGAAATACAGTATCTTGAGTAGAGTACTTGAGATAGGCACAAGTCTGGTACAGATGGCCGATAAGTGTCAAACCTGCAAAACACATGCAAGCGAATGACAATTATTCTATTTATTTCAAATGCCGTCAGGGCCAGAGACATTACAGAGGGGAGTGGGTGTTAGTGAGGTGATCAGTTGTATATTCCCGAAACAAGGTGCCGTCGCTGATGTTGACAATATTCTCCGTGAAGTCGATCCACCCCACAGTTGCGTCGGGAAGGGCAGAGTAAAGGAAGGCCTTTGAGCTGCCTTTGGGCCGGGCAGGACTAATGGGCAGAAATCATCAAACATTAGAGAAACATTACGACGCTGGTGAAGAAGAGACTGACGCAAGGTTGGATGTAATACATTTTGTGCAGAAGACAAAGGTGGGAAATGTTATAACAAGTAAAAAGATCGTGAATGTTAGGTTGAGCTTTCACAGTAGACACACTGGAGAAACATGAGTAATTAGACAGAATGAAACGAACGGCTCGGTTCTGGACCAATTCAATTAGGCTTGCTAAAGTGAATTGGTGAGGACTCCACATCGAAGCCGCAAACTCTAATTTTGGGCGGACGAGGGCAACATAGAGAAGACGTCTAAGGACAGGAGAGGCAATCTTAAAGGTGGGTGCGGCGCAAATATCCTAAACCGTGGCTTGCTGAAGCTTGTAATTACTCGTGTGTAGCTTGTAATTCCTCGCTTTGTGAAGCAGGACTCTCCCCGGAAACGCTCTTTTTTTTGCGTAGTATAGACTTATTGTAGTTGAACAAGAGCACGGTCGAGATTTTTCTTTCTATTGCATACCTGTTTTATGGTAGCGATATCTCAATTGATTTTGATGAAGGGAGCGCGATCAGGCCCGTGCCAAAGCAAACGTAGTATATGTACAGTGCTAATCACACTTGTCTATAACGCGCGAGCGTGCGGCTCTCTCCGGGGAGCGCTAGACTGGTGGCATTCGCGGAAACTAAGCTAGTCACGTGGCGCAACATGGAACGGCCCGCTCGAGGGGTGACCTGCCCACTCTATCAGCTTGATAAGCGATAAAAGTAAAGTGCTTCATGATATATTCTTGGCCTTTGATGACGACATCGTTGATACGCCTTCATGCTTTAGTCTGTTTATTGTTCGAGCAATGATGTTTGCAAAGCGTGCGAGCAACCTTCCGCGTTCGCCGCCAGCTGATAGAGTGGGCAGGACACCCCTCGAACGGGCCGTTCCATGTTGCGCCACGTGACTAGCTTAGTTTCCACGAATGCTACCAGTCTAGCGCTCCCCGGAGAAAGCCGCACACTTGCGCGTTATAGGCACGTGTGATTAGCACTGTACATATACAACAACGAAAAATTCAAAGACGACACTTGTTCACCTCAAGTTTTTTTTATCCTCAAAATGATACGGTGGAACTCTTGTAGCCAGAATTCCAGAATTACTACAGAAAACTGACACATATAAAAAGAAGATTGACCCGCCATAACACATCCAAGGTGATGAATGTTTCGGCTCTAATGATCGTTTGCATGGCTCAGGTTGGTCACAACACTCGCGAAAGAAAAGTGATGTCAGCTCTCGAGAATAGAAATGCCGAGGGAAAAAATAAGAAACACGATGGCAGCGCGGCTTTGTAAAAACACCAGGCACGTTGTCGAACACCAACAACCTTTCCTCTCGTCAAAGCAAAGAGGAAGACAGAAAATAACACGACTGCCAGCGGTCAAAACGCATGCTAAAAAGAATTCCGTTCGTACACAGACTAAACGCGACACTTGTCTGCAGTCATCAGTGGGAGGAAAGTTGAGCTCTGCGAAACATATCTGCAAGGTATGCCTTGGATTGATAAAACGTGACATAAACAAAACAAAAATAAGAGATTAGGAGAGTACACTTAAAGCTGGTTCACACTCTTGCGTGTGCTTGACCAAGTTCTTGCAATCTCTTACGACGAGAGAATGCTGACACGCTGGCGCAGTCTATGAGGTGGCCATGGAAGAGTATTTCACTTGGTCTTGCAGTATTTGCGGGATCATATGTACTTACTATCTATGAGAAATGGTCATTAATAACATCGTAAAACGCCTTTCAACATAATAAAGATATTATGCGCGAAACAAAAGTAGAAAACATACAAAAATCCCAAGTGTTCCACGTCTACCCGATAGATAGCGCCAGTTTGTTCTCTTGTCGCAAGGTATCACAAGGCACTCGGTTGTAAACAGTCGGAAGTGTGTGAACCAGGTTTCAAATTTACCTGTAACGAAACCATTCTCCGAAAGTTAAGTCTGGTCGTAAGTAGTCCCGAGAGGCTTAAAACCGGTTTTAAGCCCCACCGTTCGTACCCTGAAGTGTGTGCACCAACCTTTGGGGTTTCTTGTTCATAGGGTGGAGTACTGATGTTGAGGTATTTTGCCGCAATGAAGGCGCCTTGTTGTGAGATAGCAGTGACTTCGTTCTCACGTACACTTTCTGATTCCTGTTGCAGACAGTAGGAGGTACGATGTGAAATTGTTTCTTTATATGCAATTAGAACTCCCGAATAAATAAATGCATCTTTTTAAATCGATGCTCTCGTTGTCAACTGCCATCATGGGCATTAAGGCGAGAGACGTCGTGAAGTTTAAGTTTAAGCGGCTTTTTTTGTTAATGGAACCACAAAAACAAACAAAAGCTTTGATGGTGATGCGCTATGGTTTCCACCTTTGCTTACACAAAGCCGATGAAGAGGGCGGCTTCGAGAAAAGCCGACGGCAACTGCGTCCTCTCTATGCTTTATTTGACAAAGTAGGCTTTTTGATGCTGCAGCACCGGAACACACTAAACATGCAAGAAACAAAAAAAAATCAATTTTTGAATTTAAAGTATGCTAAAAAAAAGTTTCGAATGTTTTTTTGTTTTGTTTGTTTTAGTATGCAGCGAACCTTAATCAAAAAGCGCTGGCCTAAAGTATCTACCGGAACTTCTTAATTCGAGTCAGTCGGAAGACTTCCTTGCTTTAGTGACCGATACCGAAGGGCGGGTTAATAGAGGCCAGAGCCCCCTAAATCATAGAGCAGGCTGCGTTGTTCCAGCCGAACCGCTCTATCCTCAGGGGCCTTCTGGAGCAAAGTGCACTTAAGGCAGGAACGAGCGAGTGCTGCGTTCCCCGCGTCCGCACTCTTCGTTTTTCTTTTTGCCTAGAAGCCCGCGCAAAACGGGAGAAGCACAGCTGGCGAAGTCGGCTTCTTTCTTTTGTTTTCACTTTTCCTGGTATACCTAAGGTTACGATCACAACGCTCTTTCGAACGTCGGAACCAAGACAAACTATTACGCTCAAGCTTCACGCCAAACATGCGTAAACGTTCGAAAAAAAAAAAAAAGACCTGGAACAGTATGGATAGGTTGAGAAGCGTAGGTAGTTCATAATGTTGATAGTGCAACCTCTTAAGGGGCCCGCTGTGATTTCATCACACCGGGTGAAACATAGAGCACCTTAAGTGATTTTTCCTGTTCAGGTGCATAAACAAATTAATTAATTAATTAGTTAACGTGCAAATGAAGTCCTGACTTTATGAGAGGAATAAATGTAAATGCCAGGCGCTGCTAGAGGGTAGTCGTTTATTACCATTCGTAAGCCACCTATCGAAGTTTCGCAAAATGGTCCTCTGTACATTGTTTTCTAAAAACCAGGTATTCCTCCGTGTACAACCCGCTAATTTACGAACGGTCAGCGCATTATTTCGAGGCGCTTACAGGAAGGCCTGAATTAAGCTGGTGCTCAGGCCGCAGTTTCAAAGTCTGGATGTCTTGGTGAAATCGCGGTTCCCATCACTTCGGCTGCACGTCGGCTTCCACCATCCCTTAGGCCACGAGTCGAAATGGGCGCGGCATTGAGGTCTGATGACGTGCTCTCATGTATTCATGAAGTGCACCTAGTTGACCCGGAGCTATGCCTGTATGTGTCTAATACTGTGCTGTTATTACTTTGTGCAGGTCATCATTCGAGTGGAACCATCCACCATATGACGTTCCGGATTTGTACGCCAAGCCGGGAACACCGTGCGACAACTACAATGGATACTGTGATGTATTCCAAAAGTGCCGCGAGGTAAAATGTCGCCCCAACTGGACCTCACTGTTATGAGCTGAACACGTAGACGCCGTTGCCATCCGTTGCCATGCGTGGCAAGAAGAAAAAAAAAAAAACGTGTGCTGACATTCTATCTTTTTCCGTATGGAACCTTCGACGGGATCTAATGCAAGCTTGGTTAATCTACGAAACTCGCATTCTAGATTAACGTTTTTTTTCTTTTTTTTTTCTTGAACATATAGGTTAAACTCGCGCATCAAGCACGAAAGCGTAGTATTTTTAACAATAATTTGTTCGAGTGCTGTGACATTTTGTTGGGTCTGTTCCTTCAAAATCCTTTTAACGGACATTGGCGCGGTTGCCAGGGTTGGGTCCTCCCATCTAGTACTTCGCTTTTGGTTGGATACTTTCTGAAAGCTCAAGATTCAAAAAGGCGGTTTCAGCTACTAAAAGGCGTAAAAAAAAAAAAGTCTTTTAGAGTAATAGCACTAAATGCATATGGCATTATCTGTAATGGTTTTATATGATCGGGTTCGGTTGAACATCATGGTACCACAAACGTGTTAACCTATAGCGTTTGGGGTCCTAGTCACAAACGATAGGATAAAACCAGCAATTGGTAGAGACACAGATTTTAAATGCAGTGTACGTATACAAAAATCGTTTCCAGAATGTATTGCCTCATATATCCTTTTTTATTATATGAATATTAGCTATAAACATAACGCACCATTAAAGAAATAGTTTACATTTTTCGGACCAGTATATTTCAGGTGTATAGAACTTTGAAACAGCACATCAGGCAATGTTTTTAGAGCGCAGCTCTTAGGCGCCCGTTTCCGGCTTGAGCGGCGTCGCCGTCGGGGTCGGTGTCGCCGTCGGCGTAACCGCGCGGTGCATTATGGGTAAATTTCCCCGTCCCCGCTAAATCTAGCGGAAACATTTCTCCGCTGAATCTAGCGGAAAAATTTCCCCACTAAATCTAGCGGAAAAGTTTCCCCGCTGAAGCTAGCGGAAAAATTTCCCCGCTAAATCTAGCGGAAAAATTTCTCTGGGGGGTCACGTGACCCCCCCCCCCCCCCCGAGGCTACGTGCCACCCGAGGTCACGTGACACCCCCAGGTCACGTGACCCTCCCAAGGTCACATGACCCCTCCCCCAGGTCACGTGACCCCCCCCCCCCCCGAGAACACGTGACCCCCAGTACCCTTCCCTCCTCCTCAAGGGCTGCGCTTTAATTCGGCGTTACAGGGAGTTGTAAACGGCTTTCATTTTTTTTTTGTTTATTCCCGCATATCTGACATTTTAAGGACTTCATATAAATTGCTAGAATGAAGGGCGAAACTCCCAAGCAAATCTCACACCTCGTTACTGCTAGAGCCACTGAATAACCTAGAGGAAGTCATTGTTCAGGTGACGACGGTGTGAACTGAGGGAAGAGAGGAATTTGTTTTGGTTAGAATTCAAGAACTAAAACTATAAATATTTTTAAGATTTCAGAAACTTGAATTTAACAAGAAATTTAATTAAGCTGGAATGTGATATATTTGGAAATACTGAGCGGTGACTCTATATTATTTTTTTTGTAATCTTCATTTTCTTTTTTTTATGATGCATTTTATGTGAACTGCGTCGTCTCACGAGCTATGTGAAATATGACCGAGAAGAAAAGCGACACAAGGAAGGCTAAAAATGCACTTCCATCTTGTGGTCACTTGGTCCGGATGCGCCGCGAAGTTCCTGGTTGGTGAAAAGCCTATTTGTGCTGTGCTTTCCTTTCAGTCAGCTTTTCCGTTGGTTTTCTAAAAAATTCGACGAAGAACAGCAAAGCCAATGTCACAGAAAAAGGTACAGGCGCAAGGCTGGAAAAAAAAAAAAAAAAAGAGAAGTAAAGGTTATTGTTAGTTTAACCCTTTCAGTCTAGGGTTTCACGGAGCGTTAGCTTTCGAGGTTTAATCGCAAACGTATCGCCGTGGTGTCGATCAAGCCCAGGTACCCTTGGATGTCACCTTTTCTGTACTCATACTGCGCCTAATCTTGAAAAGTATACGGCAATGTTAGCAAAGTGCTCCTGGTTCCGGCTGCTTCATATATTAAGGGCAAATCATTTATAGGGCCAGCTCTTAAGTCGGAGTCGCACTACTAGTACATCATACAAAAAAAAAAAAAGTCTGCAAGCAAGAAAGGGTCTGCAAGCAAGAGCATTGGAACCACGGATAAATATCCGTAGTTCCAATGCCACGTGCCAAGTTTTTTTCCTTGAACTCATTGCCATGCGGCATTCGAAACACGGTTCAATACGGCTTCATACAAAAGGCAGACTACCTTTTGTACGATGTGTAAGCAGTGTGACCCCGAATTTAGGGTTTTCGTGTCCACGAATGTTGCCTCGATGACGGCATAGGGTCACGTTTACACTATGACGTCTTCCCAATGGTACTCTAAAAGCGTAGTATTATAGGTCCTCTCCTCTGTGACGTTCCGCGACTTTCACGAGATCTGATACCACGCCATGCCTTCACTTGAAGTCATATGAAACCATGACGTGACATAGTGACGTCACGTAACACCATAGTGGCAAGTGACACTGACGTCAGGTGACGCCATGACATGACATGGTGACGTCATATCAGGCGACACCGTGACCTAATGTAACGTCACAGAGCCACGTGATACTGTGACGGCCTCCTTACAACTGTGCCGGCAGAAGGGAGGAGCGGGAAGAGACCTTTTAAATGCTGCGCACGCTGAAAACGTCTTTGGGAAATGCCAGAGTCAGCCAATTTTAGTCTCATGGTCCTCAGGAATAAAGTAGCCGGCTAGCGTCAAGATGCCATGCTAACCACACTGCCCTTCGATCACTAATCTTTCTCTCTCTCTCTCTCTCTCCTCTGGACACGTAGATCCTTTATGGTGTCGCATCTGCAGATTTATATACTGACAGAATATGTGTTTCACGAGTAATAACACCGGGTTTCCATTTTCCTAAAAGGAACGCCAGAACTTTCATCACAACTCCACGGAGCTCTGACGCTTTTCCGTTGACAGGTGGACCCGTACGGGCCTCTCGCCACCCTGCGCAAGCTTCTGCTGTCCACGGAGAGCATGGTGTCTCTGCGACGCTGGGTCCTCGATAACTGGTGGGGAGTGCTTTTACTGGGCCTCACCGTGCTTGTCTTTCTGGTAAGTGCACGAGGGCGCTGTCGAAGAAACAGACATAAGACTGCCAATATTATGGAAAGTTGCGAAGCACTGTCTACCGCGAATCATGCATCGGAGAAAACCACGTCATCCGTTGGTGTCTAAAGCCCAAATACGATTCTGGCAATTTGCGTGCTCGATTTAAAAACTTTGGTTGCTGGTTTCTTGTCCGATGTACAGCGGAGGTAGCAAAGGTCAAACATTGCTCGGGATATAGTCGACCGTATCAAACCGAAGAAAACGGTTCATGTGCGACGTTAATGTACTAGCGGATAATATGCGGGAACGTTTTCATAGACCTCTAGTTGAGAGGCACAGTCGCAATCCGTGCGATTATCGACCGCAGCTCCATGAAGGGAACGGTGGCGGCGGCTTGTTGGCCTTGCAAACCAAGCGTTGGCAAGGCGCGCGGTAGGGCGTGCAGGCTATGTGGGACGGCCGTCGCTCCGCGGCGATGCCAAAAAGAAGCGGTCGACGATCACGCGTTCACCTTCATGTGAATCGGGACTGTACGACGTCGGAGGGGCGCTATTCTATAAAAGCAATCGTTCAAGCTACCTGATATACCTATCTGCTATCGTTCAAGCTACCTATTCTATAAAAGCTACCAGAACAAAGCCAGCCTCTCGATCGGGGTTCGGGGAGAAGTCGAACTCCTCAGTCTTCGGGTTGCTCACTGACTGCCTAGCGCCTTTTGGCTATCTACCGAGGAGCGAACTCTATATTGTCACGAATAAAATAACTTGAAATAACTGAAAGTTCAATGTAGCGAAGTTGTGATAAAATAAAATAGAATAAGTGGCTCTGCGGGCGTCGATATCCGCGTAGCAGCAGGATCAGGGGCTAGCGAAAGACTTACATGGTGCGGCGTACTACAGCTGATTTTATACACACCGTGGATGGATGGATGGATGAATACGGCTGAGCCCTTTAGATCGGGCGGCAGCTTACGCCACCTAGCCATTTTGTTTTACCATTTAAGCTTAGAATATTTAAATGTGAAATCTATATTCACTCCGCAGTGCAAAGAAAGTGAGGCTATGAAACCCCCTTGCCACCGTGCTTAACGACAGGAGCGCCGCAAGTGCGGCTGTTACCAAGGGTAGGCTGTGAGCACACCAACCAAAAGGAAACCAAAATGCCTGAAAGGTACGGTTGTGCTGGGTTGACAGTATGAACTGCTGCGTCGTTGGGGGCTCCAAGACGTCCTGTCCCGTAGGTACGATGTTTCATGCGCTTTAAACTCGACCTTGTTATGTGGGGCAGCGGCAACGTTGGACCCGGGCCGAGCTATACGGAAGAAGTTTGGGCCCCTCATCATCCGATGTAACGGCACGGCGAACATATTCTACTCTGCCGTTTCTCGCGCTGTGTTTCGTTTTGCACCAAAAGCGTCTAAATATATATTTCCCCGCCGATCGGATGGACCGAAATGAATCACACTCCCACTTTCGCAGATATGCGGTGCCCATTTCGTTCGAGGGCTGCCCTTTGAAAACGTGCCGACAATATACACGGACCATGGAGAGTAGTATAAACTACGCCAGTTGGTGATGCGAGGCGAAATAAAAACAGCGCAAAAAAGACACCGGAAAAGTCAGAAGAAACGAACAAACCAAGTGCTAACTGCAACTGAATTTAATTGGAAAGTACACGATACCCGAAACAAACTACTAGAACGATGTTATGAACCTTTTTCGCCGACGGTATTAAATCTCCGACTTGTCTTTGTTTCGTTTTTCAGCTGTTCTCATCTGTCCACGAACAAATCTTGTATGGGGTATGTACTTCCAGAAACAAAAATCGGACGATTAAAGAAATAAAAATATGAATCCTAAGGAAAAGTATAATGAAACGTGAAATCACTGGATAATTGACATTTCAATACGGCAGTTTAGGTTTGGTGACTTCTTTAATTAGACACCTTACAGACAATACAAAAACACTTTTTTTCATATTCGAAACGGATTGCCGACAGGCAGCAGGTCAGAACCAAACGAAAGGATACAATTTGTTTTGTTAATAATTGCTACAACTTATTGGATCCGTGTTAAATGAACTTCAGGCTACAGAACCCCAGGCTACAGAGCTCTGTATATACTGCTTAAGCTTAATTTAAACGTTGTCCAAGCCAGAAGGCTACCTCGCTGACCGTCCCGCCCTCTTTTCTTCACACCCACAGTGCGTGGTGGTGAAGTTCTTCGGCCGGAAGACGGAAACGGCCAAGCTGGTCGCGGGACAGACGCCGTGCGGGCCCGGTCCGGGCAACAGCGTGCCGTACCGCTCGAGCACCAACCAGGCCATGGCCAAGGCCGTGATCGCCTCCAACCCGGGCATCGTGTCCGCCCTGGCGCACGGCACGCAGTCGGGCACCGCGAGCAACTTCGTCAAGACCACCCTGTCCCTGCCCGCCCGGTCCTACCTGAACCACGCCGGCACTGGCTGGGTCTGACCCACGGGCCGCCTCAGCGTCAGGGCCCCTCCCGCCGTCGTGGGGCCGTCGCCGTGCTGCAACGCCTCCTGCTACGCCGTGTACGGCCTGCACGAGGCCACGCTGCAGCGCACCAGGGTTGGAGCGTTCCCGCGTCCGCCGGCAACCGAACATCCCGCCGAGCAGTTCGTGGGTGCCGATCCGTACTGGTGAACTGCGTCCTTTTGAGGACCGCGCAGCGGCGCGGCGACTCCGGACGCTGAGGAGCGAAGGACGTCGGTGCATCCGGCTCGTGAGCCCTGGACCTACTGGAGGGACCGCGAAGGACCTTCTGGCGTTTCTCCGTCGCTGTCCCGGCATCGGGCTTCAGCTGCCGTCGTGTACCGACGTCCACCGCACCGGAATGTGGCGCTCTTCTCAGCTGGCATTTGTGATACGATTGCGACGGGATGCGTCTAGGTTAGGGACATGCCTTCGTAGTGGCCCCAAGTGTACACAGGACTGCGCAGGTTTTGAAAGGAAACTGCATACCCCCAAGTGGCTTATCAGTGATCCCCCCGCTCTATGGACGTGCGATATTTCTGAAGGCCCTTTGTCTCAGCTTCGTTTTATAAGAAAGAAAGATCAACGGGCATCGGACTTGTAACACGTATGGATCCCCGTACCCCATGAACAAATAACTGTGCGCGCACCTTTACAGCTATGCTCCACCTTTCCCGGTTTTTTTTTGGACGACAGATGCTTGTCAAGGTTTCGAGTGCTCCAGTAATACTTACAACGCCATTTTGAGCGAACGTTTTCGAACAAAAACAACACGCCGCGCGCTGGGGAAGCTTGTTTCGCCTCTTGAAAATGCAGCGAGCTTACGCGCGTTGTCAACTACCCAGCGCTGCGCTGCTCGTGATTGTGACGTCTGCACGCACAATACCGTGATCTCATGATAAAGGAGACTGTTGCTTGTTACACCAAGGTCAGCGATTCTTCCTAGTTGGCCTCGATACTGCGGTAAACAATGATGGTATCACACGAGACATATACAGGGGAAAATGGCAAGTGTGAAAGTTTCCTAGAACAGGGCTTCTAATTGGATTAATATTGTGAAAGACATAAGGGCATGATAAATGAGGAAAGACATCGAGTACCCAAATTAAGATTCTATGCGACAAAAAAAAAAGATTAAAAATAAAAGTGAGAACGAAGGTATAAAACCATTGTCGCTCGGAAATAGGTTATGCCCATGAGGAGTATAAAATATTTAAAAATAACATCTTGGAATTCGTATACGGCTTTTGTCTGGTTACAGTGGGGTTCTACGGAGACAGTCACTAAGACAAAAGAGGAAAAGAAAACCACATCGACAACAAGCACTACACATGCGTTGTGCACATAAAATAAACGCAATCAGAGATGTCGCGGTTTTATACTTGCCGAAATGCATCACTGCGTGGTTGCGTCTCCGTGCAGACAAATTTATTCCACTGTGCTTCGCTCCAGTTCTGGCCATGCTTCGGCTGGAAACTCATGTTGCACACCATCTTAAAGGGATACTGAATCAAAACTTAAAATATACCTCTCACGTTCAGAAATAACTTAAACATGATCAACTCAATCTGCTAATGACAATCGCGCGCTTTTATTTTGAACGGATGGCTATATTCGTTCAAAAGGACCGATTCCAGCGAGCGCTTAAAGATCAGCCACCGGAGGGCACGATGTATCAAGGGAGCTGGACCAATTGACCTCCCAGACGAGACGTCACTTGGTACAGGATGGGCAAAGCCGCTGAGGGGGCAGGCGGGGTTATCAGCTCTGGCACTTGGCGTCGTCAACGTGTTACGACCTGGCCGTTTATGGTTGCCCCTCCCCGCTCCCCACAAGAGTTGAATAGGCCGGGAGAGAAACAAATTGCGGTTCGACAGGGCTCACGCGCACGCAGCTTGACGCCGCAATTGCGCGGGGCGGCGCTGCTTTTAAGGCATAGTGACGTAACGACATTCGGTTTAATTTTTTTTTTTAAATATTGTTTTGGTGTCGTTTCGAGCAAAAAATTGCTGCCTCCGTGGTTCATTTAGAGGATAAAATAGGCGCCAGAATTTCGTTGCAATATCCCTAGGTTCCCTCCGGTCCAAAATATTGCACTTTTATATATCAAATTCTATCAGTGTCTAAAAAGAAAAAAATAATAATTTTAGCTGGATTTATTCTGAACCAGTGCCAACACTCAGCTTACGCTTTACATTCGAATTTGATAAATGGAGCATGTGCTTTACAATCGAATGCAAAATAGTTGCCTGTAGCTGAACGCAATTCCAATTGTTGCGATACAAAATGTGCCTCACAGAGCATCTCTTAAACTCACAGCTGAAGACGAATTAATAACAAAACAGAAAACCATTACTACAGTCTCCTAAGATATCGGTCCTCCCATACTCGCTCTAAGCATGACTGACACTTTTAATGACAATACCCCTGAACAAGGAATTAAAAAAAAAATAGTCTCATTTGCTCCTTGACCGAGGCATATTGGCGTTAACGGGATACTGAACCAAACTTCCCAGTATCTATAACAAGTGGCGCACGATCTTTCCACGAGGTGGCGGCCGCCGGTGTGCGCGAGCACACGCAACGATATTGACGTCATGATCCTCCCTTCACGCTGTTAAGAATGGAACCTTCGGCGACCTTCTTCCGAGTTTCAACGCTGCGGAAACGAGTCAAGACGAGTCCGGGACAGTGTTGCCAAGCTATTTTTCGAAAATACCCCACGGCACCGTCCAGAAAACCCTACATTACCCTACGAATATTTCTTATTACCCTACGTTTTACCCTACGAGGCAAATCTTTGTTCAAATAATACTGTTGCATGGATTATGATGATACAGGGTAATATTAATACAGTACAAAGCGACAGGGCACGCATACACGCGCATACCTGCATTATTCTAGAACACCATGTTGACATTGCTTGCATCTTGCATGTGCGCTGTGTAGCATCAGCACAACAGTGATGTAGCGAGTGCAAAGACATCCCCAACCAACATGTTTAGTCGATTTGTCGTGAAATTAAAAACTGGGCTACGCGGAGCCAGCACTCGCGGCGTCAGACAAGGCGGCTCATTACAAAAGGAGGCTAATCCGAACGGTATATTAGCTTCTTTGGGTGTACCGCCTAGGGATTCGTCAAACTAAGGTACTATTTGGACAAACTAGGCTTTTACACCAGGGGAGGATAGGAAACCGGCGACCCTCCGTATTCGCTAAAATGTCATTCGATGAAACGTCATTGTTTCGGCTTCGTTCGCTAAAGCGCCGTTCGCTCGAGTGAATGCCTCCAGTCCCCCGGATGCACTCAGTTGATCAAATGACGTTTTAGCGAACGCCCACGTTTCACCGAATGACACTTTAGCGAAAGGTCGGACGCCGCGAAGCGGCGTTTTCGGGTGGGCCAAATGGGTTAGCATTTTTGTAATGAGCCGCCGCAGACTGTCGCCGCGAAACGGCGTAAGCGCAGCGCGGCCCCCGTTCTTCGCTACAACGTCGATTCGCTCAAATGTCGCTGTTCGCTAAAACATCATTCGCTCAAGCGATATGGACCCGTCCTGGTGGGCTCGGGATGGTTCCGCCCGCGGTGCCACGTGTTTCGCAGGTGTAACAAGGACCGCCGGATGGACCAGTCATCAGAAACAAAATTGGCGGGACCATTTCCACTGGGAAGATACCTCTTCTGGCTCCAAACTTCCTAAGCGCAACTCCACCTCCTCCCACCTCTCTCACTTGCTCCAGCTCTCCAATCCTCTCCAACTGCCGAATCTCGAAATGCCGAATCTCGAAGCAACGAAGTAGTAAACCAAAAAAGGATTCTGAAGTGGACGTCATGGTTGCGCTGGCTGCCATGAATAAAAAGCTGGATAGTCTACTTGACCTTAAAGAGACTGTAAATGGCATTGAACAGGCTATTCAGATGCTATCGGACAAGTACGACGGTGTGATAAGCCGCATGACCCAACAGGAGATGGATTTAAAAGAACTGAAAAAAAGGGTCGAGAGAGTAGAGCAAGATGAGGCAAAAGCAGAAATCAGGCAACTCAAAGATCAAATAAATGAACTCGAATGGCGATCACGACGACAGAACTTGGAATTACACGGCATCCCGACGACTGAAAAAGAAAATATGATGGAAAAAGTGAACAAAGTAGCAAGGTCACTGCGCTTGCCAGAACTAACACCCACTGATATCGTATCAATGCACAGGCTGGCCTCTAAGCCTGATAAGATACCTGGTATTATTGTTCGTTTCATGAGTCAGACTACTCGAGATTTATGGCTTAGCAAACGATTGCACCTTAAAGAAGACGGAAATAATGTTTACCTTTTAGAAAACCTGACGAAACATGAAAAATCCTTACTTTGGTCTGCGAAGGAATGTGCAAAGGAAAAGGCTTACAAGTACGTTTGGTACAGAAATGGTAGGGTTCTTGTGAGGAAAGCGGACGGAGAACCAGTTATCGTTATCAAGAGCATTGATGACTTGGAGAGGTTGAGATAGAAAGGCTGGTAGCGCGCCGCCATGAATTTCGCTAGTATTTTTTCCTTTTTTGTCAATGACAGACAGTGCTTATTTATTGCCGAATGAAGTGGGAAATTGCTTTAGATCCAAGTTGAAAACCCCCCTTTCTTTGTTTCATTTGAACGCGCAGTCAGTGCGTAATAAGTTTGAGCAATTTGATGCGTTTTTGGAAGGTTTTGGCATTTCTTTTGATGTGATTATGTTAACAGAAACGTGGTACAATCAAGATGACAGTGTTGATAACTTAGAAAATTACTATAACTATAATTTATGCAGAACCTCACAACGAGGGGGAGGAGTTTCAATGTTTATAAAGAAGTCCATAGAGTGCAATATTGTCCATCAATTCACTAAACTCACCGATGATTATGAAATTTTGACAGTGCAATGTGCCCACGGTGTTTTTTCTGTTATGTATAGACCGCCAGGAGGCGACATGTCTTGCTTCAACGCTTTCCTAGAAACGTTTTTCAATTTTTGGGGGGAAAGGCATTTTAAATGTGTCCTTGGAGGTGATCTTAATATAAATATGCTGGAACCGACACGGCAACGTGAACAGTTTTCGATGTTGTACCAATCATATGGCTATATTAATGTTATCAACGAACCTACGCGTTTCACCGCTCAGAATCAAACATTGCTGGATTTATTCTTGACAAACGTTTTCGAAGTAGATGTACATGCTGGTGTGATCGGGGCCACCATAAGTGATCATCTTCCTATTTACATGTTCATTGATTCAAGTGTTAATCACAAGAAAAAGCATTCTCGTGAGTTTTATTACAGAGATATAAGTCATAGAAACCTCGAGCGGTTTCGAGAACAGATCAGTCATACCAACTGGGATTCTGTTTTTTCCAAGGTGTCGGCCGACGAAGCATATGAAAGTTTTCTTGAAACATTTTCCAACATATATAATTGTAATTTTGAATATAAACGGTATGTTAATAGCAAGGAGTGCAGAAAACCATGGGTTACACCCGATATATTAAAAATGATGCAGAAAAAAAATACACTCTACCAAAAATTTGTGCTCACTAAAGACTTGACTGTCTTATCAGCTTTCAGAAAGCAAAGAAATAGAATAACAAGTGAGTTACGACGGTCAAAACGAGCATACTACAACTCTCTATTTCTAAATGTGAAGCGAACGGAGGTTGTGTGGAAGAACTTAAATGCGATACTGCATGAAGGTAATAAATTGGAACCAATTACTGAACTAACAATTGAAGATGAAATAAAAACCGGAGCTACTTTGGCAAATGCATTTAATGATTTTTTTGTAGATTTAGTAAACAGTGTTCCTTCAACTGAAGCTACGAGATATGTTAAAAGTGTCCCAGAAAGTATATTCTTTTTCCCAACGGATGAGGAGGAAGTAATTTCTATTTTTACATGTTTAAAAAATAGTAAAAGTTGTGACATTAATGATATCCAAATAAAACCTGTTAAATACGTAATCAAATCGATTGCTTCGATTTTAGTGTATGTTTTCAATTTATCGATTCAGACTGGCATTTTTCCACGTAAAATGCAGGTAGCCAAGGTGTCAGTGCTTTATAAGACAGGGGATAAAAACGAACTGGGAAACTACAGGCCGGTTTCTGTTTTGCCAATTTTTTCTAAGGGATTAGAAAAAATAATTCATAAAAGATTATATCGTTTTTGTGAAAAGCATTCCATACTATCTCCTCA